AATCACGACATATAACTCGCCATGTAACTTGACGGTAAAACCCTGGAAACGGCACAACTTATGCACAAAATGCATTTTAGAAGTTTTAGAACTTACCTCACAATGCTGAGGGTTTACTCAAAAATTAAATTCATGGGAGGACGACCAAAACCACGTTTAGAAAATCTGTAAAGAGATAAGGTTGAACCAAAAGAATAAAATTGTGATGAAGATCAAATTTACCACAAAAATACCCATGAAAACTTAAAATTGATTCCTTCCCCAAATGCCAGGAACCATTAGGACTACATTCTAAAGGTTAATATAATTAAAAAGTTGAAACTTTTTCGGATGACTTCAGATAAGTTGGTCGATGTCTAAGCCACAAAATCTGAATCAAAAATGGTGACTTCCGATAGTCAAAAAGATGCTCTAGTTCTGCGCCGACAAGGGCAAGTACGATCAACAGAGTATCCGAAATTACTCAGAACTAATTCGGTAGGCTGTATGTTGGGTTGCCAATAGTATCGTTTTTCAATGTGTAGTAGTGAACGCTACGTCTATCGGCAGTCAGACGACTCGCACGCTGTTCCAGAGAGCATAGCAAAAGATATATTAAAGAGCCAGCGTTCTTAAAATACTTTCTCGAAAACGTTGCTAGCTCTTAGACTATTACCTCTTCAACTTTGTTGAACGATCCTGGATTGTTATACTACAAAACAAAAAAAATATTTAAATAAAAATATTTTATCTTACTTCCGACAAAAGAAATGCACCTAAATTCTTTTGAAATGTAGAAAATGCTCATTCTGCTACTGCAAAAATGTTTGTTGTCTGACGAGCAAAGCAAGCAGGCGAAAAAGCTGCAAACTGACGGGGCCTTTATAAAATATATATGCGAATGGCACGCAGATAGGTCTTCTGGTCGTTATAATATACGACACCGCCCACACCACAAGAAACCTTTTAAGATAAGAGCGAACGAAAACTGAAAGAGGTTACGAAGAGAAATAAGGTAGATTCTTTTACTTTATTTCAACCAAAGCGTCTTCGGAATCAAAAGTTTAGATCTTTTTTAGAATAAACAACGATCAATCAAATGGTTACCAAGGGAAATCTCATGCAATTACAAAATTTACAGCGTACAAAACACGAGTTTAAGAACATTACTGAACATTTTAACCTATAAACTTGCTATTTTTATCCATTTATTCTCGCGTAATATTATTAAAATACTATTACTAATCCCAATAATTTCTCAGAACTTACGTGCCGAAGAACAATCCTTGAATTGTCACGGGATTTCTAATAGGACACTGTCTCCTCCACGAACCTCATTAGATTGAAGCTGAGAAACCACGGCAAATGCAAATTTTGTGGGGAAAATGGGGAAACATCAGAACACCTCATAACTGAATGCGCCGAGACGACAACCGTTCGTGCTAGAAACTTTAGTACAGCTGATGTCGGAGATGGAAAGCTGGCATCTGTGGAGCCGTCTCAGATACTGGATACTGGCTTTTGTCAAAGCCCTGTGACTGTATGATGAGTTATAACTCGTTATAACTCAATAAAGGGAAACACACAGTAGATCTGTAAGGTCGCGGTGATCCCCCTCCTAAACATTCTACATTACTAATCACCATTTAAAGTATTTTTACGATTTTAAAGATACTTCTAAGCAAAATATTTATATAATGTTACAAAATACTTTTGGAAAAGGTATTTAAAATACTAGATATAAAATACCTATTTTCTTAATACTTTTATTAAAATAAACTACTTTTCTAAAGAAATATTTTTTTCGTTATTTAGCTTAGTACATTAGTAATCAGTACAGAGAAGATCAGCAGGCAAATCAAGACTCGAGCGAATAACTAATGAACGCATAAGAGAGATTAGGGAAGTTAAACATACGATAGTGGACGACATAAAGAACAGTCAACTCATATGGTACGGGCATGTCCAAAGAATGGCAGAAATAAGAATCCCAAAGCAAATTATAAACTGGAAACCTGCAGGAAGAAGAAAACCGGGTAGACCGAGAAGAAGTTGGCAGGAAGGGATTGACACGTTTATGGAGGAAAGATCTCTCGGAGACGGTGCATGGAGAGACAGACAGGCATGGAGAGATGGCATCGGAAGACGTAGAACGTTTTAAACCGATTAATATATATATTACTAATATACATTAGTAATAAAATTATGAACAAGAATTGTGTAAATCTGAGGCTATCTTTATTACTTATGGCAGTGTATCTAAATAGCGGTGCTGCGGAGAAGAGGAATCAGAATCCTCTAAAAACATGTAATAAGATTTGTCTGTTGTCTTTCATTTTAGAAAGTTCTCATTTTTTTTAATCGGTATGAAAAAGAACTATGAGAGCACTATACGTGTTTCAGTCAGGACAACATCTTTGAGACATATTCTTTAAATGATTTTGGCACTCATTTCTTTTTAAAGAATGAAATAGGTGCTTTTCTTTAAACCATTCATTAATACTAGATATATAGAGAAAAATCAAAATGTTTAAAATTAATGTGATTTTTAGAATATTTATTTTGTTCTACCTATTTTAGGTTTAATGTTAATAAAAAAATGTTAAATAATAAATACGAGTTTTTTTATTCATCAACGGATATTTCATTATCCCTAATACAGATATTATATTGGGTCCATATTATGATATTTAATTATATTATATATTAATGATATTACTATTTAAGAATATATAACATGTGTATGCATTTAATGGATTCGATTTATACTATGAATAATTTCTAGTTTAAAATTAAACATAGAGACAGTCGTTTACTATACATTCGTGTCGATGTTTTTGGTTCACTTAGTGTGACAATAAGGGCCTTGTTGTTTGTACTAATATTTTCCCACTGTGCCTTCCGAATATCACACTAATGAGCAGTCAAAACCAAAGAATGGTATAACTCATAATCTAAAGATATTGGCACCATATATGGCATATTGACGCCAGTGATGCCAGTGATACCCGTGACGCCAGTGACGCCAGTGAGGCCAGTAATGCCAGTGATGCCATTGACGCCAGTGATCCCAGTGAGACCAGTGACGTCATTGATGCCAGTGATGCCAGTGACGCCAGTGTCGCCAGTGACGCCAGTGAGGCCAGTGACGCCATTGACGCCAGCGACGCCAGTGACGCCAGTGAGGCCAGTGATGCCAGTGACGCCAGTGAGACCAGTGACACAGTGACACCATTTACTGGATCTCTATACACGTATCCAGTAGCTGGCGCCAGTATCACTGTCACGCCTGTCTTCCACTGGCTGCCAGTCAGTGAGACCATTGGCGCCAGTTACTGGATCTCTTAAACGTTTCATCGTTATTATCAATTAATAAATCACATTCAATAAAAATTTGAAACAAACTTTTACTAATCGATGTTAGCACTCACTGGGTCTTTCTAATTACGACATTTTACATCGTGTATGATAATTATTATTGGGGTAGCCTCCCGAATCCAGGGACCTCAGTACCTGCAGGTGGGGACTTGCTAACTAACAATACCTCTTCATTTACGGATGTTTCAAGTATGTTAAACTTCAAACCTTAGTACGAGGACAGTATTTTTATTATTATTATTCCCCTTTTATTCAAGTTCAGGACAGCATAGTTGGATTCTTTGGAATAGCGATCTAGGTTTTCTATGCCGTACTCTTTTACATGTGATTTTCAGACAGAGTACGGCACTCCTTTCATTTCGTTTAATAAAATCAGTAGGGCTATTTACAAATTTAGCCTTTGATTGACATAATCTATTTTCCTCAAATTTCCCAAATATCGCTTCTGTCTAGTGCATCCGAAATAAGTTAAAATAAAAATATTTTTATTATTCAATATTTATTATTACTTTAAACTAACTATACTAGGTATATAATATTACTTTAAACAAACAAAATTTGAATTAATTAAAAAAGATATAATTAAATTGGTCGAATGACAAACGACCAATCTTATTATATCTTTTTAGGGGACCCTGATTCCTCTGTTGCAAGTAGCTGGCAATAAGTAGGTAATAAATAGCAATGCAATAAGTAATAAAGACACCCTTAGATTTACACAATTCTTGTTCATAATTGTTATTAATGTAGTAAGCTAAATGACGAAAAAATTTTTTCTTTCAAAAAATAGTTTATTTTAATATAGATAACTTAGAAAATAGATATTTTATATTTAGTATTTCAAATACCTTTTGAAAAAGGATTTTGTAACTTTATATGAATACTTTGCTTAGAAGAAGTATCTTGTAACTTGTATTTCAGATGCTTTTTAATGAGGTGTCTGGTACATTAGTAATATCATGATACTGTAAAAGGGTATAAGATTTCAAAATAAACAATAATTTAAATAGTGATTAGTAATATAGAATGTTTAGGAGGTTGGTTAATCACCGCGACCTAACAGATCTATTGTGTGTTTCCCTTTCATGAGTTATCATGAGTTATAACTCATCATACAGTCAAAGGGCTTTGACAAAAGCGAGTATCTGAGACGGCTCCACAGATGCCAGCTGAACAGCGATCAAGGTTTTCTCTGCCATACTCTTTTACTTGTGAAATCCAGGCAGAGTACGGCAGTCCTTTCATTTCATTTAATAAAATCAGTAGGGCTATTTACAAATTTAGCCTTTGATTGACATCATTTATTTTCCTCAAATTTCCCAAATATCGCTTCTGTCTAGTGCATCCGAAATAAGTTACAATAAAAATGTTTTTAACACAACGTCGGTTCCTTTATTTCATTTAAATTGTTTGTTATACAGTTGACCAAAATATTATCTCTTCAACTTTGAACGACCCTGGTTGTTATACTAAAATAAAAAGAAATATTTCAAATGGCTTTAAAACGTATCGTCTAACAAGCACGAATTTTGTTGAATCAAAAGACCGTTGCTTTTAAGAATGAGAGAAAATAAATCAAAGTGACGAATCAAAGTAGGAAGAGAGAATCTATTTCTCTAACCAACGTTTTATTTTTGTTACAGAACGATATCGTCCAACAGGCAGTGAGGAATGTAGTCCTGGAGGAACGGAAAAGAGACCCTCTGAAGTATTCTTGCCTGTAAGTAAACTGTTACATTAGAAATACATAAGAGAATTTGTTTCTTTTTTACTAAAAATAGAAGAATAAAAGAATAGTTGTACTGTCGTGATAAATTATACCGGGTGGTTCTCAAAAGTCGCTCATTCCTACAATTCTTTTTTATTTTTAAAGATAAAAACAGATTTAATACGTTAGTACACTCACCGGCACGAAAAACGGACACCTTAAAATTTTCGCGTGTTTTAAAGTTTTATATAATGTGTTCTAATGGACCGATTTTGACGATTTTTATGGTTCCGTACCCAATGGGTAAAAACGGAAACCCTATTACTAAGATTTCGCTGTCCTTCCGTCCGTCGGTCCGTCTGTCACAAAGGTCTATCTTATGAACCGTTATAGCTAGACAGCCAGACAGAAATTTTTACAGATAATGTATATGTCGCACCCACAAAGTGTAATTGTCCGTTTCATGAAATGGATATCCACTTCGCGAACTGGTTAGGTTAGGTTATGTTAGGTTCGCGAACTGGTTGGTTTCAGTTCGCGAAGTGGATATCCATTTCATGTAACGGACAATTACACTAAGTGGGTGCGACATATATATGTTGCTGCTATAAGAACAAATACTAAAAACAGAATTAAATAAACGTTTATAAATAAAAAAGTAATGTCACTAAACATTATCTTTTAAGTAAGATTTTTTTATAGAATCTTTCAAGTCCTCGGTGGCCGCGTGTTTAAAGCGTTAGTACTTTACGCTGCTTTGACGTTGGAGCCGTAGTAAGGCAGGCTCGAATCCTTCCTAGTCAAGGCGACTTTTATTTAATCGTTTTTTTTTAATTTTTACATATTTATTTTTACTTTTTACATATTTATGATTAATACAATTTTTAATTATGTGTTTCTTCATTTTTTTTAAATTACTTATATACGCGCATTCAAAATTTCAACTAAATCGGAAAAAATGTTAATAATAATATAGCGTCTTGTGTTGTATAGATAATGAATGGTACGGTGATATGGATGGTACCCTTGATAATTTTTTTTAAGCAATTGGTAGCTAAATTAGTTGACATTTAGTATCTCTTTCTAAATTAAAAATGAAACTATATTGGCAAGTATACGAAGGAAAACAAAACATGCCCTTGCTTGTGGTCCTAGTCAATAGACCTATAAAATAGTATTTATGATTTATATAATGTCACTGTCTTTGAAAAATCATATTATTATTGTCTGTTCGGCAGTTACTCTAGCAGATATGGTTTTTAAGTCCAAAAGTTGATTTCTACCATGATCACAAGATACAAAGAAAACAAGGTATGATATTGCGCAGGTTGGTCGCTATATCACAGGTGATAAACGGCACTATTGGTCGGCAAGCTCCGTGTGCCAACTTCAAAATGTCAAACAGATGACATATAATAAACGTTAAAATAATTTTTCAAATGTCAAGCTCGATGATTTGACTTGAATAATAATATGTCTATATTTTATTTCATAGAAAGCGTCGTATATAAAATGTAATACGGAAAAATGAACAACAACTGTGCTAATTTTAGCAAAAAAAATCTTAACGGACCGCAAACGAACTACGTCAACTCGCCCCTTTGACCAAACAGGATTTGTTACTTTTATTTTGTATGGTATATATTTTATTTTTTTATTATGGAAGATTGGTTGGAAAAGTTTGGACACAGGGTGTACGAAAAGGTCATGCTAGAGTGTACTATTTGCGCTAATTGATACTACTTTTTGTTCGCGGAGCAATTACGTGCATGAAATGTAGTACCAAATAGTGCAAATAGCGTGCTCCACAAACCCACCATTAGTTTCAACTACCGCTAGTTTTTTTTTTATAATACCATTATAGCAATATAATTTTGTGTATAATACCAATTACCAATATACGGTTTGTTGCCTCGAATTTATTTTATTTCATTCTCAACTCTAAAACACTGGTTATGATAGAAAAAAAAGGAACACTGGTCAATATTAATGCCGGGTTTATACAACATTTGCATAAGTCGTAATCATAAGCACAGTCTTAATCGACATAATCACAACGCAATTTTAATGTGCGTTTATAACATTTTCATAATCATAATTTTTATATCAGTGAAGTTGGGTAACATAATTAAAGGCAAAGTTCATGGTAGATGTCAAAAGGTTTATAAGAAGTGGATAGTTTAACTTTTATGATGACTATGATTGTGATTACGACTACGTAAATGTTGTATAAACCCGGCATAACTTGCGCAAAGACTTAATTATCACTTAAAAAAATGTATCATTTCTAACTTTCAAGAAATCTTGAATTCAAGAAATCTTGCAAGACTCTTGAAATTTCTTGCATATTAAAGTCTTGTCTTGTCTTGAAATTCAAGACAAGAAATTTTGAAAGTCTTATCTTGAATTTCTTGCAAGAGTCTTTGTTTTACAAGACTTTTTCAAGACTCTTGTGCAACACTACTATCTATCATACCTTGTTTTTTGTAACTACCATGCCATGATCAATTAAAGCAGCAATAGCCGATACTTAAAAATAAACAATAATAATATGACTTTTCAATGACAGTGGCATTTCAAAAACAATAAACACTATTTTATAAGTGTGCTGATGAGGACCAAAAATCAATGCTAAAATTGCTCTAAACTGTTACTGTCTTATTCAAAAGCGAATATCTCAAACAAAAATAAAGCTATTGAGATGAATCAAAAAACAAACTATCCAGAAAAGACGTACCTAGATGATATAATTAAAAAAAATAAGTTAAAAATATATTAAACTCTAAAATACATCAGAATTTAAGGTACCCGTTTTTCGTGAGTCTATGTGACATATAAAGTAAGATTGATGACGTATTCAGTTGTTTCAATTGGTTAATACTACGAAATTTGAATTGACGTATTCAATTCCAATTTTGTAGTACATTATTTTTGATGTAATCTATTTTTATAGGGACAAGATACCGGAAAATATATCCAATTGCAGACATTATGAACTTCTGGATGATGTTTTTGATATCCTCTCTAAAGATGAAGGTAAATTTCTTAATTTATTTTTATATTACGACCGGAGCTGCAAGCTTACAGAAAACTTAAGTCTTTTTTTGACTTAAATAATTTTAATGACTTAAATGATTATTTGATTTTAAGTCATACTTCAAAAGCTGACTTAAGACTTAAAATTTAAGTCATTTGAAGTCATTTTCAAAATGACTTGTGATTTAAGTCTTTATTCCGAAATAGAAAAAGATTTAAGTCATTAAAAAATATTTATGTCTATTAAAAGATTTAAATCTTTTTAGAAAAGATATATCCTTTTTTTCATATATTTTTATCATAACTTTTTAACAGCGGCATCAAATATGTGTTTACTTTACCTTTAGTTTCATAAAAAAGTAGCAATTGTGAAAACCGCATCTTTGTACCGCTGCTCATAAACGAGAAACACAAAAAAATGGGACAACGTGTACAAAGTACCATGAAATTTAATTTTATTTAAGTTGTTGATGTTTTTATATTTGTGTTTTTAGGTCCTTGATGCGTTTATTTTTTTATTGTTTATTGTAGTTGTTAATATAATATTTTATTCTAATCTGAATCTACAATAAATTAATATAGATAATAAAAAATCGGTAATGGGTAATACAAGAAAATTAATATTAACAGTTAATATATAAATATTTTAATTGAATTCTGGTTGTCTTGACTTGGAGAGAAATAATACTGATTTAAGTCATTTCACTGATTTAACTTGCAGATTATCATGATTTAAGTAAAAAAAAGATTTAAGTGAAAAAAAGACTTAAGTAAAAAAATAGCATTATATTGTCAAAAAAACAAAATATATTATTTTTATTTAACCTTTTGACGACTGTAACTTCTTCGAGAAGTATTTTAGGAGATATATTCATAAGAATTTTTTGTTTTATTATTATGTACGGCCGAAGTTAAATACACTAGTTTCTTAACGCCCTGTATAATATATAACGCCCTCTTTAATCGAAACACACATTAATCGGGCCATCCTTAATGACTACCATACTCACTTGGTGAAAATTTCTTTTCAGACGCCAATGAATTCGATTTTTTTGACAAGCTGGGACAAGAACTAATAAACATATGTTGTACCGAAGGCATGGAAAGGGCATTTAAATGCCTGGGTGGTGATTTGAAGGAATTTTTAACCACTTTGGATGGAGTTTACGATGTCCTAAAATACAAAGAGGATATAAATGCAGGTAGGTAATAAAATTAATATACACGACTCAATCCATTTCAGAAAAGGTAACTAAATTTAAAGTCAAAAATATTTACAAGATTTAATATTTCGGTGAAATATAAACGTACAACCGTTGATTGAAAGAATTGGGAAGATACGCTACTTAAGGGGCGAATTCGTGACAAGCCTGATTTGATTTCCCCTTACGTCTCAAGTGCTGTACGGTGAAGACACCAATCAAAAGGTCTGCTTTCTCAGAAAATAGGTAGCGTTAAAATATTCAAACTTGAGGTAGCATATATAGGGTGTTCAAAATCATCGGAGAAGAAATAACCAGAAATATATGACAGAAAATAGCAGTATAAACTATATATTCAATTGCAAACACTTACTTACCATAGTTATTTTGTTTGTGTGTTTGATAAATGCCATAAGCTAAATAAATAAAACCTACCATAGTTTAGAATTTACTGAACGTTTGATAAATATATACTATTATGGACAGTATAGGAAGTTACTTGTCTTAGTAAAAGCCTTGGTAAATGCTCTTGGAATTATAAACAACACTGGCTTGGATAAAAAAATATGGAATATTTTTTCATTGTTTTGCAGCATTACACAAATGGGAATAAATTTAAACTATAATAGGTGAGGATAACTAAAAAATATAATATGTGTTTCAAGATTTTATATACAAAAAAAACTAAATGCCATTTTGGGGGTTCGTAAGTAAAACTTACGCTTAGCTTAGTTTTCTTTACTCTTTCTCTTTACATAGGGCATTGTCTTTGTGGTAAAGACGTCATTCCTGTTTTTGCATAGTTCTTCAATAAAACATTAGATATTCTGAACAAGATGGATTTAATAGTTTGATGTTTGATGGCCTTTTTGAGGCATATTTAGTGCACTTCTTACCCGAGAACTACTAGTAGGAGTGAAATCTCTTTTAATAGCTGTCAACCATTTTTTACGAAGCTCCTCATTTTTGGGGAATATAAAAGCAGAAACCTTGGGACCCCCTCTATAATTCCCGTGACAATTTGGAACAGAGCATATAAAAGGCATGCTACAATAAAATGTTAACCTATCTTTTGATTATTGTAAGCAACCATTATAAAGTACTATGCAGACTGGCGGTGAAGGCTTTTTACTAATTTAGGTGTAATATCTTGATAAATACTTCTAGTTCTTACCTTAAAATAATTAATAATACAGGAGTAGGTACGACAAGCGCAAAAGTTTGAAGTTCCCTATGTGGAATGTCTGGTTTGGATTTTTATTACACTCTTATTTTATCACAATTTTCTGATCACACTTGAACACTAAGAACTAAACAAACATGTTGCAGAAGCACAACAAACTAGAGATAATTAATTATTTCTTGTATGCAAACGGAACGATGGTTAAAGGTAAACAACAGCCTTCGCCGCCATATTTGCCTTGCCCATATCATGTTGATTGGCCTTGAGTGGAGGGGGTAATGTGTGGATCTGAAAGCAACAGTGGTGCCATATTAAAATGGGTAATATCTGTAATGCGTTTGACGAAAATATCTTTGAATGAAAGATCCGCGTCTATGCATTGGAAATTTATTCGTGTTAAATATACATAGAATAAACAACAAAAATAAAAATTCTTTTATAGGTAGGTACTGAATATGTCGTATGATCGAAGAAAGTCGTTTAGTTGGCTTGGAAATGACGATTATTGACATTTACCATAATATTTTACATAGGAAATAACAGCAATCTTCATTTCCAAGCCAAATCTGACACCGGGCCGTTCTTGGTTTAATCATATAATATTATATTAAATTGCTTAATGCTAGAAAATCCGTATTATTAAAGTACTGTACTAAAAATCCGTAAATCTGCGGATTAATCAGTAGTTCTGGCAACACTGTCACTAACAACGTACTGAACCTTCACACGGTACCGCTTCGATTGTTTTGTTCAATCGATAATATCGAAATGCTACAATAGCACATAGTATTTGAATGCAGCTATTGAGAGGACGGATATTATGTGCCGTATACGAAAATTTTTCAGGATACGACCGTGTTGTGCGATCGATTTTGTCACTGCAATTCGTAAGGGTGATTCGATAAAAAAAACGTCATACGGTTTTATCGACGGTGTTCTTATGAGGTTGTTTACATGATCGGATTATATTGTCGACTATCGGATTGTAGGTTTGGTAGTAGGGACGTTCGATTTAAATCGATTCTTCATAAAAGCGATCTTTTGACATGCGATTTCCAATTTTTTAAATCGATGAATCCAAAACCGATTTTTTATAGTATCGATTCTTTTAGACCGAGATCGAATTTTAGATCATGAAACCCGAATTTTATTCTCAATTTCAGAAGATATCGAAGATTCAGGACGTTGAATGGCGCTCGGACGCAACGTTCTCTATTACGCCAGTCAAAGCACGCTGTGTATTTCTATCCTTTAATAAAGTTATCAATTTAAAGTCATTTTACAGTTTATTTATTTAGAATTTTATTTTATGCGCTGATACCTAAAGTAATTTAGCTTCCTGTTGTATTATTTAGAATTATACTTTATTTTGTTTTGTGTCTGTGTGTAAAAAAATAGAAATATATATTTTTAATTTATATCAAAAACGGAAAATCAGAGTCTAAAATTGAATTAGAATAAAAGATCGATTCTAACTAAGGTCGATTTTTTAGCTTGCGATTTTTCTTCTGTCGATTCGCAAAGATTCGATCTAGATCGTAATTCTAAGTCTTAATTCTCAAAAGATTTGTCCTAATCTTTATATCAAATCTTTATACCGGGTGCGTCTGAAAAGTGGCTCACCCTCTAACTTTTTTATTTTTTTAAATAAAAAAACGAGGCTTGGTATGTTTGTATACAAACTTTATTTGATAGAAAATGACACTCTGCATAGAATGACATATGTTATCATATGTCAAATTTTGACATTTTCGCATATGGTTTATTTGAAATTGTAACATGCTCTTCATGACGACAATTTGACTAAAAATACCAAGTGTGTGGTATCAAATTATTCGCAAAAAAATACTTTTTCCAAATATGCTAATGTGCCACCCTTGTTCCATTTGAAAAAAAATGAGATATAATTAAAAATACGATTTGGGCATCTTTTAACCGGCCTGGACAAGACACGAAAGACATTAGACGATCAAAACTATTTTTCCAAGGCTCCTTGATTAAAAATTAGTGTGTTTAACACAGCTGTGGCACTAAAATACGAATTTTTTTTTAGCAAAAATGTCAAAAGTTGACATATGATATGTCATTCTATTAGTATGAGTATCATTTTTAAATTGCATAAAGTAGAAATATACCGAAGGTGCCATTTAAAAATCAAAAGGTGTAGTAATTTCCGGTGAAATAGGAAGTGACCAAAATCAACTGAATACGTCAATCAATCCTAATTTATGTGATATACTAACATACCAAATATCGATTATTTATCTGCAAAAATAAAAAAGTTATAGAGGTGAGCCACATATTAAAATTATATTTTTATAATATATTATTATAAATCCATTTCCTGAGCTTCCAGTATTTGAAAGATTAATCGTAAAAGACAGCGGACTGCATTTCTTACTCAATTTGAAAGCGAGCTGCTGCACGAAAGGTTCTCCTGTTACGATATTTGCAATTTTAATCTAGGCCGATAACTATTGCGCTAAGGAAACGCTGCTGCACGATAAAACGAAAAAGAAGAAGAATAAAGCTATCGCGCATTCCGAATCTGAAATGGAACAAAGAAGATTTTCTCGATATGCAACGCTGTGTGAACAGTTCTGTCGCATAAATTATTTACGCCTGAAATTCCTAAACGTAAGGTAAAAAAACGATACGGTAACAGAAATGCCTATAAAATAGACATGTACAGGGTGGGTCAAATTGGATGCTTTTAAAGAGAAACACCATCTTCTATAGGAGATAGACGAAAATTAATATCGGTGTCTGGAGATCAGTTTATATCAAAAACATGATGGTCAAAACTGCACATCGATAACTGTCATCGTTTCGGAGTTAGGTTAGGTAACTTTTTTGCTATGGAAAATTTGGTATTATTATGAAAACATTTCCAAAGCACCTTTTTTCTTAGAATTTAATGATTTAAGTATAATTTTTTTTTAAATTAATAATTCACGAGTTATCATCAGAAAAATTATTTTTTATTTGGGACACCTTGTTGATATTTAATTATCTGAAAGGAACTTAAAATTAGGTACTTTTTCAAAAATATAGTACACTTGATATTTTGTTACACTATGTTTAAAAAGTCGCCGCTTTTAACTAGTAGGCTTTGGACCTCTTATTGATTGATCTGCCCCTAATGGAACTCGAAAACACATAAATTTTTGCATCCAATTTCGAGAATAACTGAACAGCTAACCAAGATCCCAGCTGTTGGCCGTCGAGGCCGCCGGACTTAGTGCCTCTTTATTTTTGCGGAAGAATAAAGGTTCTTATTTTTAAATTGCCCGTATAACCTAGACAAGAATTAGAAGTACTTAGCGGTTATGCGAGGGTATCTTTCACCCCCACTGAGTTAATGAATTCTACGAGAAATGTTCAAAAACAGTACCGTCAGTCCATAACAGAAGATGGTCGACATTGTAGCAAAATTCTATATCTTAGTTTGCTATTTATTTTTATTGATATTACCTGAAATGTGTTTTGATGTTTTTAAATATAGTTTAAATTGTTATAAAGTTCTGCATCTCTCATTGCAAATATTATTTTCGTTTTAATTGCTTCTCACAGCTAGAATTTTTTTGCATTACAGCCATTCAAAACCTACTTATTCAAAGTGAGCGAATTTTCAAAATTTCTCTCGAAGAGGAAACGAGCAAAATATCAAGAATGCTATATTTTTGGAAAAGTAATTTTAAATTCTTAATAAAAAAAATAATTTAAAATCATTTTTTTTTGTTGATAATTCTTAAATTATTAATTTAAAAAAATATACTTAAACCATTAAATTCTACGTAAAAAGTTATATAAAAACATTTCCAAAGCACGAAATGTTTTTATAAAAATACAAAATTTTCCATAACAAAAAAGTTACAGCGATTATCTCCTATAGAAAAGGATCTTTCCCTTTAAAATCATCCAATTTGGCCCACACTGTACAGGGTGTCCTACTAAGAATAGCTCTCGGCTGCATCTCGGAAAGTATTAACCCCAAAGCCTGCGGAAACAATATTTATAAGTAAAAAATTTTTTTTTTTATTAGAAATTATTGTCATTGTGTAATTATTTTCAGGAGAATCTCCCGAAACAGAAGCAGCCTTCGTCTGCAACGCGACCAGCGACATGGACCTCTATCTCGATTTTACGACAGACCGACCAGCCGTCGGTCACTTACTGGTGGGTAGTCTGAAGTCCATCGCCAAGACATTGTACTACACGCGCGTTGAAGTGACCATGATACGCGAGCTTGATGCCAAGGGGCAGTTCAAATACCACATCCGATATTTAGACGTAGCCAACCAGATTGGAACGCCCCACTGTCCAAAAACGCCTAATGGTTTTGCCGGTTTACTTCCAGGCAACATACCTATGAGTATACCTACGTTTTGTCGAGCTTTTCCGTGGCATTTTGTTATAGGTAAGTCTAAATTTTAACTTAAAAACAACCCGTTTTATTTAGTAATGGTTGTTTTGATTAAGTATTATATACTAATTAAATTGAAAAACATACGCACAGATCTTCATGACGTGGGGTGACATAGTGTGGCGTGGCGTGGCGTGGCGTGTTGGCTAATGGGCTCTCGGCATAATAGTTGCAACGATACACGTTATTTATTTAAGCTAGTCTTAAAATAACTGTACCCGTAATGCTCTATAGCTCAATATTTTGTTACGTTAAACTGGTTAAAATATAAAAAAATAAAATTTACAGGTAGAGTATTTCGAAAAATAGATCATTATTCACAAACTAATCACTGTTTTTTCATTATTAATGCAAATTGGCTTTGTTTCACGTAAATTATTATATATTTTTTTATTTTTTGGAAACATCATTATCGTTTCTGATAAAATCGGTCTATTAAAGAGTATATAATTAAAACCCGATAACAGCGTTCCTGTATTTATAAACTAACTGAAACTAATGAGTATAATTATATTTTGTTTGTTAATTGGGGCTTAAATAATAATTTTCATAATCGTAATATTACTATAATACTATTGTTATGATTTTAGATAAAAACTGTTATGTGTAAAATCGCTTATTTCTGGAACTTACTCAACCGGGTCTCACAATGCAAATTCACCTCAAATATCCATTTAGTTGGTCATTGGCAAGCAGGCTCTCATTGTACATGAAAATAACAAAACAAACATTTACTGATCTGGATAAAATTGATAGTTAAATAGTAAAACTCACCCGGGGGAACTCCGCCCCTTAGCCACTGGTATTCTATTGAACATATCCCATTCATTATGTTCCATCTAATTCAAACATTATTCGGATCTATTGGTTAATCTTCAACAACTAGTTGGTGTCACCTGAAATAAATATAGGTTTCCCCGGACGCAAATCTGCAGCTAAATAGATTCGCATCCCTAATAGTCTCGTATCCTAATAGTCAATAAGACTCGTAACCTAATAGTCAATAAGACTCGTATCCAAATAGGCAATAAGACTCGTAACCAAATAGTCAATAAGACTCGTATCCAAATAGTCAATAAGACTCGTAACCAAATAGTCAATAATACTCGTAACCAAATAGTCAATAAGACTCGTATCCAAATAGTAAATAAGACCCGTAACCAAATAGTCAATAAGACTCGTTTCCTAATAGTCAATAAGACTCGTAACCAAATAGTCAATAAGACTCGTATAACCAAATAGTCAATAAGACTCGTATCCAAATAGTCAATAAGACTCGTAACCAAATAGTCAATAAGACTCGTATCCTAATAGTCAATAAGACTCGTATCCAAATAGTATATATATATCCTATAGTATAGTATATCCTAATCCTTTATACCTAACCTAACCTAACCTTAGTCATAAGACTCGCAACCTCCAAATGTCAGCTCTGTGACAAAACACAACACAACACTACTTTACACCCGGCCGTCCCGTCTACTACTGACTGACCTAGCAAGCTAAGCCTCTTCTTACATCACATTTTTACCTGATTACAAATATTTACATCGCTTGCCAGTGAATCATACTATTTTCTCTAATCGACTATCAAATTAATAGAGTGTTCTAGCATTGCTAGATAAATAAATAGAGAGTTTCCGAATTATAAAACCATTATTACAACCAACTTATTTCCCAAGTTTTACATATGATTTTATTTAATTTTTACAGCGTAAAAACTGAGAAATGTAAAAGTAAAAATGGAAACGTACAAGATGCCTTTCAATTAATTTTGTTAACTTGTTATATTCAGTTTATTATAAGTAGTCAAAAAATACCAAGTATTGTACGATACAACAGATATAAACATTCTTTTTTAAAACTTTTATACCCATTCTCTCTCTTTATTCCTAAAAATGCTGAATCAGGTTTTAGCCTAACTGAAAGGCCTAAGTTGTGCCTCAAAAGGATTTGTTTTTTAACAACAACCTTTGTATTTGTATTTACTAAGAGTGGGTCCCAGGTGGGACTCTCTATTGCGGCCGCGAGGGCTTATGCACAACAACCCTTACTCAACAACTCTGTATTTACATTGTTTTGCTCCCACAATAGAAAATTGCAAAACGAAACACATTTGATGTTGACTTTGTATCGTAAAAAGTATATACCGAATGACAGCTATTGGCGGTGAAAAAATATTCAACGTTACAAAAGCATCTAGTCTAGCAGTATAAAAAGCATCTAAAAATTTTCGTTTAAAGCTGCGTTCACATTGCTCGCGAGCAGGCCGAACGAACACGTGAAATAGGAAAAACATGGCAAACAGTCGAAGCGAGATGTTTGCGGCGCTCGCGACGTTCGTGGTGCTCCACATGCTTGCGATCACATAAAATGCCTGCTTCGATTCTCTCGCGGTACATCAAAGAGACGCTTCGGAGCCATGCGAGCATACTTTAAAGCGGTTCGAAGCGCTCGAGCGTGTTCTGATGTGAGAGCTCTGCGTTATTTGTTTAGTTTTTAGTTTGGTTTAATTCATAGAATTCGGTATTTACTGCAGTATGATGATACTACCATAATTTTTCTTTTTTTCCAGATTTACAAATTTGTGTTTAGTTCTTGGATTAATAACATTAAATAGGTATACCTTTAATAAAATATAACTCTATATTTATATTGCCTACTTATCTTAATCTGATCTTTGAGAACTTTATTTATATTTTTGGCATACGCTTGGTATTATTTTTGAAATGATTTGCTTGGAAACTTTGAATAAATAACCCAAACCGGTATGTGAGTCTCTAGTTGCAAAGAATCTTAATGTCATGGCCAATCTTTATTTAACTCTTTCTTTAACCGGAATACACTTCCTAAACGTTGTATTTTTCCTTTCTATACGGGGGCCAACTAAGTTAATAAGTCTTTCAAAATCAGTAGCGGACATGCGATAAAAAATATTAAAAAAACATTTTGTCTGTAAATCGCGTAAATGTTTACTTTCACAGCGCTGGGATAGAATTTTGAAAGTATTAGACATCCAGCATCTACTTTTTTCTCTTTGTCTCCATCATTTTGCAATAATGATCGCACTAGCAGCCGCTATTAGAAATACTTCGGTATCATCCATGTCCGAACAGCACGAACGCAAGCACTACATTACAATGTGGACGCCGTTGCTTGCGTGCCGAAAGATCTTGAGCAACACGATAAACAGGAAGCGCAAGCAACGCAAGCACAATCAGAAGCAAGAGCGCGAGCAGGATTACAAGCAATGTGGATGCCAGCTTAAGACATATTTATAAAATTATGTGTCCGTATGTTACGCAATCAACCAATCATCTGCTAGGCTATTTCTGTTAAATCAACCATTTTTCTGATACACAATATTGCTTTTATGCATCGACTTTAAAACTGTTTTAATGACTATCAAAGCCATGCAATTTTGCATTGAATTATTGCAGTATTACACAGTAAAATATAACAGTAACATTATCTCTAACAGTTAAGTCGTGAAAAATAATGGCATGAAATAATGGCTGTCTCATATTTTATTTAAAACTTAATTAAAACATTTTGAGCTTATTGAGAACCCATTCAATATTTTTGGTCAATTTTTTAATTATAAAATGTTATTAAAAATTACATGGTTTTAGAAATTTCGACAATTTTACATACAGGGGTTTGAATTCCTCGTCTCTCAATTCCTCGTGGGTAACATGCTATAATTTTTGTGGTTTATCTGTTGTCTGTTGTTCTTGTCAGGTGTCTTGTCCATTGCCATTTGAGAGATTTGACTCTGTGGACATCTCTTACTTATGGTTTTGTCGTATCCACTCTATTTTCTTACGCTCTCTCTTGGTTCTTCTTCTTCTTTACGTGCTGTCTCTTTCATGGAGGTTGGCGATCACATTGGCAAAATCTTCACGATTCTCGGCTTTTCTTATGAGTTCTTCAAAAGTTAGGTTAGTCCAATTTCTGATGTTCCTCAACCAAGATAGTTTCTTCCTGTCGAGACCTCTTTTTCCTTCAATTTTACCCTTAACTATTAATTGTAAGACGTGGTATTTTTAATTTCTCAAAATATGCCCTAAGTACGATGTTTTTCTTATTTTTGTTATATTGAGCAATCCTCTTTCTCTGCCTATTCTGTTATAAACTTTGGTATTTATGATATGGGCTGTCCATGGAATTATAAGCATTCTTCGACATATCCATGTTTCGAACGATTCGAGGCGATTCATTTCTTGAATTTTCAGCGTCCATATTTCTGCCCCGCATAATAGGATTGACCAAACAACACCTGACGAGCCTAGTTCTCAACTCAAGGTCCAATCTGGGGTTCTGGATAACGTTCTTCATTTTTAAAAATGCATTTCTCGCTTGTTCTATTCTGGTTTTTATTTCCACGTCGTTGTTCAAGGTGTTAACTATCCAGGACCCCAAATGTTTTAACTTGTAGACCTGTTCTAAGGTATTGCCTTCTATTTTAATAGAAATTGGTACATTTTGGTTCTTTCCAAATACCATGACTTTGGTTTTAGGGGAATTGATCTTCATCCCGTATTTCTTACAGGAGCCTTCAAGTTGCTCCACTAAACTCCAGTGAATCCACTGAGTCCAGTATCAGAGTCGACAATAAGAACTGTGTCATCGGCAAATCTAATGTTGTAAATGACTTCGCCGTTGACTTTAATACCGCAATCTGTTGAAGAGAACGCTTCCCGAAAAATATCCTCAGAATAAACATTAAACAACGAAGGAGACAGCACACATCCCTGTCTTACTCCTCTCTATATATTGACTAGATTGGAATTGTCATTTTCAACTTTCATGTGGGCTGTTTGTTGCCAATATTTATTTTCTCTCTTGGTTATTCCCAGCATATTTCGTTCCATTGAGCATTGTGCGACGTAAACAGCGCAATAAAGAAGTTAGGAACGTATAATAGTATATTGTTTTATTAGGGAGTAAAATGACACTTTTTGAGGCGAGACTGTACGTTTGACATACAGCCGAGGGACAAAAGGTCATTTTTACTCCGAACAGAACATGCCTTTTTTCAAACGCCAGAAATAATTTGTTAAACAATTTCAAACGTTCCCAAATAATATAAAAATATTTACAAGTCAGAATGTAATTATATATCGAGAAAGTATGGTTACGCTCGTTGAATTTGACACTTTATGTCAGTTTAATAATATTTTTTCGTGTTTTTATGCTTAGGCATAAAAGTGCTTTATTTTTATGCTTAGGCGTTAAAATTACTTTTTATATTGTCAATCACGTCGCAAAAATTAATACTTTTGCGACGTTTGAAAAAAAATATATTATTTATAACAAATAATTTATAACAAAAATGAAAATCTACCCTTTCACAAGTTAATCAGCATATAATATGGTCTAATATATGCTGAATAATGGATGCTATGTAATCATAATATGAGTAAGGCAACTTAATGCTTTTGAGTATTTGATTTAGACACAAATCTGAATTATTTAAGCTAATGATATTTGGAAACGGTATATTTTATATTTATTAGAACCTATGCAATCCAAATTAAAATAATTCATGTGATATATAAAATAGTTTCTTTTAAAAAAACTCCTAAACTGATAAACAATGTTATTTTCCGAACAATATGCAACATACCTTCAATATATCACAGGGCAAATGCAGGACACAGCTACTATTAAAAATACATTACTTTTACATTAGTCAGATTTTAGATTCATTTTAATCTGTAGACATGTGCAAGATATTTCTCATTTTGTTTCATCGATATTAGATAGGTTTGCTAATGAAATTTGCGATATTGCTAATGACATATGGGGATGCTTTTAATCCGTATTCTATTTCTCAGGGTTAAATTCACAACAAATGATTTTTTTGTTATTGACGTCATCTACTCTATCGGCAAGCGAAGTCTAGGTGTTTACATGTCCAGGGGAGAATCGCATAGATAAACCAAACAAGTTTAGATTGGAAAGTGCCCATAAGGAAAATGTAACGACGCGTATAACGATACGCGTGTAACGGTTGCGACCCAAAGCTTTTGAAAATTTCGGAGCGGTTCGACTTTTTCCGGAATTATATCGCTAAATATTATTTGTTCAAATTTATTATTATTTTCTTTTGATTTTGTAAATAAAATACAGTGTGTCGCATACAAGAAACTTTATTCTATATAAGGACATTGGACAAATGGACGCTTTAAACGCATTTCGGGATTTTTTTCAGCGAGAGGGGTTTAGATTAAGATTTTATAATTTTTGAAGATTCTGACTTTGACAAGAGATATGGAAAAGAGAAAATTATTTCTGGTTATAGCGAGTTAAGTTTTAAAAAATATTCAGAAATTATTATTTCAAGGAATTTATTACGAGTAGAGTTACAAGAGTAGTATTGTGCTGGGTTGGCGTTGGTTTCTATGTAATTTGACAAATAAATAAAACTGTCCCTTTAGTTGTCAGTTTTGAGTCAATATTTTTTAATTCTCTTTCGTGTCGATTGCTGATTGAATTGGAGCCAGAAATGGCTCAAAACGAAATAAGTAAATTACCAAGAGATATTCAGGCTGAGGCGACAAACGCCATATCCAAACTACTTCCATTTAAATCCCGAATAACTTATGAAAAGGAATACAAAAATTTTCAAAAATGGAAGCAATTAAAAAACGTGCGAGAAGAAATAAAGTTTTTAACCTATCCTCGCTCCTTACTTGATACTTTATCATGTAATCCACCCTTGCAGTTAAAGCACTATTTTATCTACTATTTTTGATAGATATAAGGCAATTTTAACAGTAGCTATGGAAATCAAAATAAAATCAGTCTTTATTCCCGTGTATTTCTTGTAGTCTATACTAGTCTATGCTGTAGTATAATCGTTTTTTCTTGTTACAGATCGCCATCTAGAGATAGTCCAGCTAGGCTCAGGATGCATGCGCCTCTTCGGCTGTTTGCTCAAGAGCCACGGCACCTCGGTGTCCACCTACTTCGAGTTCAAGCGACCTCGCAGCCTTACCCTCTCCTTCGGCGAGATCATCAAACGGGCCAACACGCCCTTCGTCCTGGCCCTCAGACAGATTCCCGGTGATCGATCGAGTCAGCCGAAGGTAGGTCATCAATCTTGTGACGCGTATATTGTTTGGAAACGGGAATGCTATATCTGGCCGACATCAGTAATCGGTCTGTCTGTCTATACGTCCATTTGTTAGCGGGTGTTCTTCATTAAGATAGGCCGAATATGTCGATATTGATTTGTTACTGGCTTTTATTTTTCATATTAAGAACTGTTCTCAAACTGATCTCATGCATTAAATATTGGATGCGTCTCAAAAGTGGCTCATCCTTATAACTTATTTATTTTTTTTAGTTAAAAAATCAAGATTTGGTATGCTAGTATATGACATAAATTAGGATTGATTGACGTATTCAATTGTTTTCGGTCACTTCCCTTTTCACCGGAAATTACGACAATTTTTTATTTTTAAATAGCACCCACGGTATTTTTTTACTTTATTCGATAGCAAAATGACACTCTGAATACAATGACATATCATAACTCAACTTTTGATATTTTCGCTTAAACATAAATCGAATTTAAAATATTATTCTAGAATGTAATGGCTGTGTTAAATATAACTATTTTAAATCAAGGAGCCTTGGAAAAATAGATTTGAACGTCTAAAGTTTTTAGTGTCTTGTCCTGGCCGGTTAAAAGATGCCCAAATCGTATTTTTAATCATATTTCAATTTTTTCAAAGGGAATGAGGGTGGCTCATTAGCATATTTGAAAAAAGCATTTTTCACGAATAATTTGGTACCATGCACTTGGTACTTCGAGTCAAATTATCATTATGGATCGCATATTGCAACTTCAAATAAACCATATTCGAAAATGTCTAAAGTTGATATATGAGATGTCAGCCCAGTGAGCAAAGTTTTGCCACTTTTAAGGTTTGTTCCAACCGGAATTTCGGGATCGTTTCGAAATGGTACCCGAATCGGTTTTCTTGTACTTTGTTAGCATGCGCGGACTTCGAATAGTTTCGTGACGGTGCAAAAAGTATCAACGTTGGAACGCTTTGTGGATTGTTTACGGGACTGTCAAAAGTGTCAAGCGTGCGTGTATCTATCGGTTTTTTGTTTTTGTTTAGAATTTTATAAGATAACCCTATTATTTTTGTTTGCAATTTGCAATAATAATAATTATTATTCTTGAAATGGAGAATCAGAATCCAGTAATTATTGGTAAGTGTTATTTCAACTGTATACTCACTTACCTATCCGCTCTTTTATGATCCTGTTATGCGTAGTTTCCTGTTATTTCATTGCAGTGGTAGAATATTTAAACATTATTTAATTAATTAAAATTTCCGAACAATTTACTCCACACAAACTCACAAGCAAAAGTATAACGCACACGTATTCGAATTCGTAAAAAATAACCAAGACAGAAGCATCAGCCGGACGCCGGACCAGAATCAGCTGTTGAAAATCGATAATCCCTGCCAATATGCTTTAATGCGCAAGTCAACACAAACAGTTCTCAGTTTGGACAGTGTTCCGAAATTACCGTTCTGAAATCGTAACTAAACGATCCCAAGGTAGGTTGGTACGCAAATAGGATCGTCCGATAACCGTCAATTCTTGGTTGGAACACATTTGAATTACTGCGTACGAGCGTGATCGTTCGGTGACGGTTCTGCGGCGCGGCGTGTTGGGACAAACCTTTAGAGAACATTAGGAAACAGTTACATATCTGCGTTTTATTGCTTCATATAAGGCACAAGAAGAGCTTGGTAACGTAACAATGACGTCACCTAGAACACATTTCCCTTAAAAGAATAAAATGCTCACTGGGAATTTATTCAGCATATTGAATACCTCAATCAATCCTACTTTATATCATAGAGTGCGTCTCAAAAGTGGCTCACCTCTATAACTATTTTATTTTTTTTTAGTATATGACATAAATTAGGATTGATTGAAATGTTCAATTGGTTTTGGACACATTCTGTTTCACCGGAAATTACTACAACTTTTGATTTTTAAATAGCACCTCCGATTTTTTTTTTACTTTATTCCATAGAAAATGTCACTCTGAATCGAATGACATATCATATGTCAACTTTTGATATTTCCTGATGGTTTATTCGAAATTGTAACATACGGTACCAAATTATTTGTAAAAAATTTGTATTTTTCCAAATATGCTAATGTGCCACCCTCGTTCTATTTGAAAAAATTGAGATATGATTAAAAATATGATTTGAGCATCTTTTAACCGGCCCAGACAAGACACGAAAAACATTAGACGATCCAATCTATTTTTTCAATACTCCTTCTTTAAAAATTAGTGTTTTTAATACAACCATGGTCCTATAGATTGATTTTTTTTAAAGCGAATATGTCAAAAGTCATTCTATTCAGAATGTCATTTTCTATCGAATAAAGTAAAAAATACGGAGGGTGCCATTTAAAAATCCAAAGTTTTTTCCGGTGAAACAGGAAGTGATTAAAAACCATACCAAATATCGTTTTTTTTTATCTGAAAAAATAAATAAGTTATAAGGGTGAGCCACTTTTGAGACGCACCACTTTTCAGACGCACGTAATTCCTTTTTTTTCAAATATGCGATAATTGCTTTGACTAATGTATTTATGTTTTCTAACAACTAATGTTTATCTTCCTCGTATATTCTACAAAAGGTAATTTTATATTCTCAATCATGGTCATAGTAACCACGTTTATACATTTGAATCCACTCATTTGACAGCTTTAATTTAAATAACTAAAGCTCGCTCAGTACAAAATTGTGCTATATTATTAACGGGAACTCTGTTGATTTAACTAGTTTTCATTAAATAAATCACCTTCAATTACCTGCAATATCGGGTTTTGTGATGAAAATTTCCGATTATGGGTTATTCAGTAAAACAGAGCTTAAATAACAAACTGTCAATATGGAATTTTAAAAAAACACGACATGTTTTAATTAATTTTTTATGCATAAAAGGTATACCTAATTGGTGTTATCGACAATTATTAGGCCGCATAAAGTGTAGATTAACGGTCTTTCTGCCGAGGAGCAAGGGGAAAGACCACCTACCTGCTGAGCTGTATCCAGGGTCAGAACTTCAATGTAAGGATATCGAGTTGGCGAGTCATCAACTCGAGGAAGGAGGGTCATGGTCAGGTCCTCACAATAGGAATTATCCTCAAATCCAAGGAGGTAATAGAGAAAGAGAAACATATCCTCTATTATAGATACGGGACAACACCGGTATCAGGTCTAAAGAGAGACCAAGTTAAAGAGGTGGAGAAAATAAAGACAGATCCTCCAGCCTCCACCTCACGGATTCCTCAGCCGGAGGCAAGTTCCTCGACTCTGAAGAGCGGCACGGAGGGCCAAACTCCAACCGTGTGTGTGTACTCTCGGAGGAAGAACTGTTGTCAGAGGAGGATGGGAAATATCCTGTCCCCTCAACAACAGGGGTATGATGGGTTATAGACTGTGTGATGACTCAAGGAAGGGGGGCTCAATAGATCTTTAAGGTCGCAGTGATTAATCCCCCTCTTACTCATTCTACATTCTACATTCTACAAAGTGTAGATTAGGGTGAGCCAAAAAAAAAAATAACCTATGGAATTTATGGCTTAAAATGAACCTAATAACCGAGAAAAGAATATCCCCGGAAGGCAGGATTTTTAGCTCACTTTTAAAAGGTGTCGGTGAACATTCAAAGTTATCCATTTAAATAACACGTAAAAAATAGTTTTCCATTAAAAGTACCATAACTTTGTAACGGTTTATGATAAAAAAATTACATCGCGGATTCTTGTAGAGCTTAAAATTTACTAAAAAATCTATCTAAGAGTAATTTTTTATTTATTAATCAGTTTTAGTGTATATTGATTAAAAGTTTTCATATTTGGTAAAAAGAAACTAGAGTATCCTGAGATAGATTTTTTAGTAAATTTTATGCTCTACAAGAATCCGCGATGTAGATTTTTTTATCGCAAACCGTTTCAAAGTTATGGTACTTTTAATGGAAAAAGATCTTTTTACGTGTTATTTAAATGGAAAGCTTTGAATGATTACCGACACCTTTTAAAATTGAGCTAAAAATCCTGCCTTTCGGGGATATTCTTTTCTCATTTATAAGGTTCATTTTAACCCATAGATTTTATAGGTTAGTTTTTTTGGCTCATCCTAGTGTAGATTTTTTCTATTTTTTGTTTCCTTTAATATTAAATATGTGGGGTAAAATAATTTGCCACTGGCGAAGCCATTCTTCCATTGATGGGGGCGATTTGTCGCATTCCCTCAAAATATAAATAAATAAATAAATAATTGCCTTTACTGTCAAAAATTTTTTCAATTTGTAGACAAAGGTAAACTAAACAAACAAAGTAAACAAACAAGGTACTCAAACAAACAAACAAAAGATAATACAAAACATTATACAAATAATATTGTCAGTCTTATTGTTTAAAATAAACATTTATAAATGTTTACAATGTCAAAGAACAAAAAAATAAAAATAATATTCAAAAATACTTAGTTTATAGTAAATATCAATGACTTCTAAATAAATTTATTTCGATGTCATTAGTAAATATAACAATAGCTAACATTAGACCAGTGTTTACAAGATCAAATTCGATTTTCAAAATATAATTCATTTACGGGGTAGAAAGCCTTGTCTAGTAAATAAGAGTTCAATGCTTTGCGAAATGAAGAAAATGATGTTATGGATTTGATTTAAAATGGCAGATGATTGTGCATTTTTTTTCGAGTTGTATAATTGAACTTTTAACTAACTCTGAGCGTGGAGTAGGTAGATAAAGGTCTTGCTCCGCGTTCCTGAGTGGATAAGTGTGAGATGACCTTCCTTGAGAAGCTGATACATGCTTACGTATTACGTAAACCAAACCAAACACAAACGGATTCAAATATAAATAAATAAGGAAGAGTCAATATTTTTAATTTTTTAAAAAAGTCCTGGCAATGAGTTCTGCTGTTTAGTCCCAATGAATATCGAACAGCTCTCTTCTGGAGCTTCAAAATACGGTCAAATTGAGTCGCAAAACACGTACCCCAGAATG